TTGACTTGGAATTTCAGGGTGCAAAATGGTACACGAGTGTGCAGGGAAAAAAGTGAAATGCGACTTGGATCGAGTCCGACAGTGCCTTTAAAATTTCACTCGGCAACTAGACACAACGGAAGTTGAAACAGTATTCCCACGGCGATCAAAGGGGTGCAGGGATAATGCCGATTGTGAAGTTCGCCAATTGCGCGGAGGCGCTCGAAGTTTGAAACCGTGAGAAAGCCAATTCCGGCTACTGGATGCTCACATTTCAATGAAATCCCGGGGCTGAATTATGAACAACTTTCTGACACGTTTGCCTTCAATGTTCTCACTTCCCGGCCACTCCGTCTTCAAACTTTGACACTCGAAGCTAAACTCGCTTCTTCGTCGGTTCTCATCGACAAGGTAAATTATTTTTACTAAAGAAGTTTCTGGCCTGATCTGAATCTCAATTTTCAAACAGTTCATCTGGACATCGTTGGCGAGCCTAACGTCGTCACACTTTTCTCGTCAGTTCTCACGAACAAACAACGATCAAGCGATAATTTGTGCGTTAGAAGATTTCAAGAAGTAAGTACAATGTATTATTCGATTCGATTCTTAAATTTTTCTAGCAAGACGCGAAACGAAGGGGTACGTCTAATCAACGAGACTCGAGAGCTAAAGAACCGCGAAGGCGTATGAAATTGGAGCGTAACAATCAGAAATGGGACGTTTATTGAATTCGACCAGCAAAGGGGAAACAGTGACAAGAAGCACAACACATATTGTGAACCGTATCCTGAGAGAAATCGATAAGAACTGGGTTAATACGATCAGCTAAAGCAGCAAACTTCTTTAACCTGGCTATTATATTTAGATATCGGCTCTATGGCCAGATATGTGGTAAGCTGACGAGTCCCATAGGACATGCATTTTCGTTCGTCAGCCTTTTGCAGCCTGAACTGATTTGTTCTTTGATCAAAATTCAATTTCAAGAGATCTTAAAGCTTTCTTTCAGCTGCGACTGAACGCTGGCAATTCAAGAATTACGCAGAGTGCAATTAAGAAAGTACAATTCTGGAAAGCAAAATGTTCGATGCAGATCAACACGGATGATTTCAATCTGTCGGGAGAGCACAATCCACAGTGAGATCCGAAACTAACTTCATCCAACTATACATACCAAGATGGCCAGCGTTGAAACCAATCTCCCCTAATCCTCTAAAATAAATCCAGTCTGTGAACCGCGTTTGCCGGCCTCAGCCGAGCCGAAAACCTCGGGCTGCAAATCCAAAGTGCAAGCCCTCGGTCCCGCTGAATTCTCCACCAGCCCGACCTCCATCTCGCAGGAAACAATCGTTTCCACTTAGTTAATCGGCGTCAGCCTGTGGCAGTTCCGCGGCGACACCAAGACGGACGGGTTAATCTTCTTAGTCGGGGGGGTTGCGTGTCTCTCCGCGCTCAGGGCTGTAGACCGTGGGACGCACCTCGAGCCCTGCGCACAGCACGCGTGCTACAAGTCGCGCGGAAGCCGCTCCGGAAGGTTCAGTCTGCGCGCGACACTTGCCGGAGACGCGTCGCGTCCCTTTCGTCCAGAAGGTGCACAAACTCGCCGTGACATCATCGCGCAACCACGAGGGATCCAATTGTTGAAGAAGATCCACTCTTCGTCGTAGTTTCGTGATCGAAGCATGGGTCACCATGAGACAATACAACTAAACGGTCCTTCGATTCTCGGCTTCCTCGAGCGGATTCCACTTTCTCCTGAAAGAAACAAATCGTCTCGATAAAAAAAAAAAAAAAAA